TGTATCAGAAGCATGAATTAAAAACGCAACACTTTAAATAACCGTAATTTCGCGTGTGTGGTTGTAAGCATTTTATAACTGAATTCCTAAAACTTGATCTTCGTTTGGCCTATTTACATCGTATACTCTGCTGTAAGTCACATTGACAGTGTTAATGTGCGAACTTTAGGAACAATGCCATGTTTATGAGATTACGAGAAAACCGCACATTTGTGGGTGCGAGTCGCCCCCATGCGATCATAGTCGGCAACTTTCTTTCTTTCTTTCTTTCTTTCTTTCTTTCTTTCTTTCTTTCTTTCTTTCTTTCTTTCTTTCTTTCTTTCTTTCTTTCTTTCTTTCTTTCTTTCTTTCTTATTTATTTACACACTTATGTGGCGGGTCCCTGACTATATTTTTATTATATTATATATCAGCAGTAATGTTTAACTGTTTGTTCCTAAAATAGATAATTATCAGAAAACATATTTTCCTTCATGTTTGCACATAAGTCAAAATTGTACATTATTTGTTGCTACTTTTCCCATTATACCAAAAATAAGATTATATTAGGCTGGAAGGTCAGACATGAGCCAAAGTCTGCTTTCCTTTCAGGCTGTCTTCTATTTACTTCATGGAATTGGAAGCATGTCAGTTTTTCAGATTTTCTTTAACTCTGCTGCCAGATTATTTTATAAAACAGACTATCAGCAGGTTTTTTTTCTCTCTCTCTTTTCCCCCTTTTTTGATTTATTATTATTATTTTAAAAATTGTATTATCCTATTAAACTGCCAATGTCACTATAGACCATTTCATTATGGTGATGTCACTGGCCCATAAACATTTCCTGCTTGTCAAACTATTTTGTAACTGTAACAATAGGCAATTTAATCATATCTTAACATAAAAACAGCTGTCATAGCATTATTTATCAATATGTGGACCTTTTTGGATTCTTGGAAGCTATGGAAATGAAAAATGTAAAACAGGAAATAGATTAGGAACATTGTTATTGTTTACATCCCTCAATTTTTCAAACACAGCTCACGTGTTTATGTAATGACTCTCTCTTGCCACATGGTGTCAGGCTTTACACAATTATTCGAGGAGATTCACTGATGACAAAAGTTACTTTGTTATATTTATTGACTATGTTTAATTTTTTTCCTTTTGGTGCAGTTACTGAAAAAATTATTCGGCCAAAATTTCATGTTTATAATACGTAAAATGTATAGCGATGTATAGTACAATAATGTAAAATAAAATCAACGTTTACCAACTAAAATTGTCAATCAGTGTCAGTTTGGAGGTAAATTTAAAATATCAAATAAAAAAAATATAATAATAAAATTAATAGTATATAAATATATATATATATATATATATATATATATATATATATATATATATATATATATATATATATATATATATATATATATATATATATATATAATACAATTTGTGATGTATTAGTTAAGAGTTGATTGTGTTATTTATTTTTTTCTTAAGTTAATAATTTAATTAGAAAAAAATAACAACATAAAAATAACAAATAACAAAAAATAACAATATCATGTTTAATCATGTAATATAATATAATATAATATAATATAATATAATATAATATAATATAATATAATATAATATAATATAATATAATATTATATAATATAATATTGGGCGTCACAGTGTAGTGAGTAGCATAATTGCCTCACAGCAAGAAGGTCGCTGGTTCGACCCCCGGCTGGGTCAGTTGGCATTTTGGTTTCCCCCACAGTCCAAAGACATTCGCTACAGGTAATTCAATAAGCTAATTGGCTGTAGTGTTTGTTTGTGAATGCAAGAGCATGTGGGTGTTTTCCAGTGATGGGTTGCGGCTGAACAGGCCTCCGGCCCTAAAACATATGCTGGATAAGTTGGCGGTTCATTCCACTGTGGCGACCCCTGATTAGTGGAGGGACTAAGCGAAAAGAAAATGAATGAATGATTAAATAAGTAAACAAACAAATAATATAATATAATATAATATAATATAATATAATATAATATAATATAATATAATGTAATGTAATGTAATGTAATGTAATATAATATAATAAAATATCATAATATATGTAATATATGTTTCCCAGTACTGGGTTGCAGCTGGAAGCTCATCCGCTGTGTAAAACATGCTGGATAAGTTGGCGGTTCATTCTGCTGTGGTGACCCCTGGTGAATAAAGGGACTAAGCGAAAAGAAAATGAATGAATGATTAAATAAGTAAACAAACAAATAATATAATATAATATAATATAATATAATATAATATAATATAATATAATATAATATAATATAATATAATAAAATATCATAATATATGTAATATATGTTTCCCAGTACTGGGTTGCAGCTGGAAGCTCATCCGCTGTGTAAAACATGCTGGATAAGTTGGCGGCTCATTCTGCTGTAGTGACCCCTGGTGAATAAAGGGACTAAGCCAAAGGAAAATGGAACAATATAATAATATTATATTCTTTTCTTTATTCTACAATATAATATTCGTTACATACATGCTCATACACACATACACGCATGTATAACAATACTCTGAGAAACATCAGAACAGTACAATGAAGTTGTTTTTCAACATCTGTTTGTCATTTACTATTATTACAGCTATTTTCATTGTAAAGACTGATGCTAAATTATTGCTATTATGATATTCCCTTTGGCAGCCAATCAATCCATCCTTCCATCCATCCATCCATCCATCCATCCAGTCAATCAATCAATCAATCAATCAATCAATCAATCAATCAATCAATCAATTAATCAGTGCCAGTGTTAGTCCCCAGAAGCTTTGTTTTTAGTTAGCCAGGAACGTTTTGTTTACAAGTTTCTTTAATATGCTTTCTGAATAAACTCCTGTATAATAAAACATACTTATTTGGTTCCCCCAAAATTGGGGGGGCTTATGGAAACGCTAGGAGACTGGTCTGTGCGTCCAAAAAAATCATTTACTTGAATCATTTAAAATCATTGAATAATGTACTGCTGTTAGGATTAGGCTTAATAGGCTCACTATTATGCACTAAGTAGTCTACATAACAGAATTTCTTTCAGTTTCTTTGACTAATCCTTTCTTTTTCCTCTTACTCACTCGTATACACCCTGTACACGTTTTATAAACATTATTAATCATCATTACTTAGCAACAGCATGGATGCCTGACTCCACATGAATGTATTGTTTACATGCAAGTAGTCTTTGTAAAAAGCAGCGGTTACATCCTTCTTTTCCTACAGGTGGCGGAGTTGCTCCATAAATGGCGTTTTTAAAATGTCTTTTCTCGCGGTATAACTATAAATATTCTGTTCTTTTCGTTCTTTTTTATTCATTTATTTTTTTACAAACATTGGTTGCATAGCAACACAACGAACAGAGACGTGTTATTTTTTTAGTGAGTAGCAATTTTATCATTTCAAAGTGGTCACTTCATACCAATTACTGCATACTTCTGATAGGAGAGCAGCTCGCCTCGCGAAATTGTGACCGCGCGTGCTGATCTGTCAAGGCTTGCGCGTGATTTGAATAATGATGGCAGCGTTTATGTTATGTATGAATTGTCTGCACGTTATGTTACGCTGTGATCTTTGCGATTTTTATTAAAGATATGCTTGATATTTTTCGTTAAAATTCACCTTTTGTTTTTGTTGCATTGGATGTGTTTAAAATGAATTTGGCTTATATGGACATACAAATTAACACATTTTGGTCAGCCTCTTCAAATGTTCTGACGCTGTTTATTATGTAACTGCTGGGAAAGCAGAAGTATTGCATTGTTCTTAAGTAGATTGGTGGAGTTTTGATTGATTGACTGCTTTCCTCTTGCTATCTCATGTCTTGCTCATCCTCTTTCATGACACATTCAGATAATCAGCTTGGACATTTTGCCCGTCTCATCTAAACTGTATCTCTGCCATGTTTAGTGAGAACTATATTGTTTTACATCTTGTCTTTTAAGTATACAATTTCATGTTTTATGTTCAGTCTCAACACATTATACGAGTAGATAGACTTGTTTGCTCTTATAAGCATATTCACCTCAAAATTAAAATTGTAATTTTTACTAAAACGTTTTTCAGACACTGTAAAACTGTTCTGTTAGCACTGTTCAAAATGTATCATTTGAATTAAGTAAATGGTGACACAATTTTAATTTGGGGGTGAACTGTCTCTTTAAGTTCCGTCCTTGACTTTTCATCTTGAGACAGTGGTTTAGCCGTTAGAGGTCGACATCTTTAGGGATCATTCAGTTGGAATAATATGAACCCTAAGCAGGCCATATATATATATATATATATATATATATATATATATATATATATATATATATATATATATATATATATATATATATATTTATGTGTGTGTGTGTGTGTGTGTGTGTGTGTCTGTGTGTCTGAGTGTGGCATATATATAAATATGGCATTGGCATTGGCATTGGCGTTCCGGTCTCTCTGATTTCCAGGTGAAGGTTGGTTAAATATTCGTCCCAAGATCTCAAGATGTGGCATGAAACACAAAACAACTATACGACACTGGTTGGATGAGTGCATGTTTGATTTATATAATTTTAGATTCATATCTTTAATTATCTTTAGTAGTTGCAACTATATTATGATTTACAATCAGCAGTGTTCTGCTAAAATTATGCTATGTAAAATTATGTTTTGTGATATTAAAATACCATCTGTATTTTATCTCTTATACACACACGCTTGCACATGTGCATATGTTAGATTTGGTTATTTACGTAAAATATCCCCCGTGATGCAGTAAGAGAAATTCAGCACCACAGTGCTGGACAGCGCCTCACCTTCAAGACCTCTGCAGCGTATCGCATTGTTTTCTTACAACAGAACAATACATCCAAAACACAAAGTAACAGACCAGTACTATCAAAACTAACTTTTATTAAACACTGCAATTTTATCATATGCAAAGTTTGTTGAATTTCCCAATCCCTGGGTCTGTTGGCCTGCTGATGTTAAAAGGCTCCGCTCTTGGCATTCACCGCGTGCCTTAATTGTAAGACATTAAATCAAGGTCCGCTGTGAACACGGAAAGCCAGAGTCTGAAATCCCACAGAGCCCGTCCAAAACATACCACAAACCCACTACAGTACATCAATATAATCAGCACAAAGCAGCGGTAACATCATGAAATCCTTCGCTTATCCGACTATCCGTGTAGTTTCTGTTTTAGGGTCCCGCCGCGTGTGACTGCGGCGTATTCCCAATAAAATGAACGGTTTTTAAAACCATCTCGGCAATGTCCTGTGTTATGTAAACTATTAAGTGCTTAATCACTGCACAGATTTGCCATAAAAGCATAACGAATACTCATACTTAACCGCAGTATGATGAAATATAGCCATGAAATTTTGACACCATAGCGATAAGGCCTTCATTATTTTTGGTGCTGATTTAAAAATGACAGCCAACCTGGGACAAAGAGGGACAAGAGGGATGACCATTTGATCTGCTGGTAGAGCTCTGCTCTGTCAAAAAAGAAAAGGTGTCAGGGTCTTCGGCGACATCCATATTCGAGAACCTACAAGAAAACAAAAGAAATGCGTTAGAAAGGCTTCCAGTTAAATGTGCAACAGAATACCCAACCATCGAACGCGTGAAAAAATCTGATATTCCAAGCAGACGTCGCGTGAAGCTAATACGCACGTTCGATGAAACAAGCATCCAAATGCGTTCGAAAAAGACGCATAGCTGTATTCCATTCAGAAGGAACGGCAGTAGTTCCCATAGGTTCTTCTGGGACTGAAGATGGGCTGAATATTCCCAATGTCCGTGCTGTTAATCAGCACCGGTGTGTCTCTCTCTCTCTGTCCAGTCTTTGCCCCACGCGGACTGACTTTAGGATTAATGGCTCTTCAGCCAAACAAAATAAGGCATCTGCTTTTAACAGAAGAGGATTGCATGGGGGTGGTGACGTCACTGGGCAAACAGATGTTTGCGAACAACGTCCTGACCGTCTCCTTATGTCCTTGAGAGTAAAAGAAGCGTGTTTGCTCTGACATAACCGCGCTATTTGTTTCCTCCTTTAATAGTAGCCAACCCCTGCTTACAAGGAGCCTGTCAACGCTGTCAATCGATCAGCGTAATAGGCCTACACAACTAAGAGGAAAGAGAATTAGCTATTGAAATTTAACTTTGCCTTCATCAGCGTTTTATGTGCACAATTCCCCACACGCATTTCGGAGACTGGGATGGGACGGATTTTATTACCTATTTGTGCTTGAAATACAAAATATTGCCCCGGATACACAAGAGATGTTGTCTTTTGCATTCATTTGCAGAAAAGAAGGTAGCATGTGCAGTCTTTATATGTGTGTATTAAAAACGAGCTGTCACCAGTTTGTGTGGGCATAAATCCGCATTTAACTCGTTCTGTTTACATGGATGTCAATAGAACTATCAACAAAATTTGCAACTGTTTGGTGTTTTTCGCTCGGATATTAGGCTGTGTCAGTGGTGTTTGTTCATATGAATAGCAAATCATGGGATCAAATGAAGACAGGATTCAGTATTCTGTTTGAAGGTCCAAAACACTGACATTTTAAAATCGCCATCCACACAAAAAAGAATGTGTAAAACACATTTAGTAGACTACTGCGTAGCAAGCATTTTCGTCTTTTCATTCTCCATGCCACTCAGCTTCCGTTTAAACATTACAGTTTGAAGCAGATTTGTACATAGGATGGCCGTATGAATGGAATCGAGAAACAAAGGAAACGCCATTTTTGACCAAAAATGTCTGTGCATTGCATAATAATCGTACCTGCATTTCGTCCCTAGTCTTTAACCCACGCGCTTCTGATTTATCAGTGTTTGTGCTCTCATAATGAGCAGTAAAATATGACCTAGTTGACCCGGCGTCCATTAATCTATTGTCTGTGGGAATCAAGCGGGTACAAACAAAGCGAAACACGTAACGAGCCCTTGTGCAGTTTGCTTTAAACAGTCCGCGTTTGCGATAAACGCATCATGCGTATTGAAGCAATTGTATGGTTTGATTTTGCGTGCGTTTTATCCTTTCACTGTAAAAACAATAGCAAGTGCAACGTGGGAAAAGCGTCACCGTTATATTCTGATGATGCCGATCGAGCATATGCCGACAATCGTCGTCTATTTTGTCTACCGTGTTTTTATTTCTTTGCATTCGGGGTTGTATTTTGTATACACAAATACCACATATGTATCCCACAATATTCCACACTTACGCGCTTTCTCGCTCGCTTGCTTCACAGTCAGATGGAGGTCGTTGGTTTGCAGTCATATCCATCCATTTTTTTCATGCGCCTTTCTTCGTATTTGCGGTTCTCTTGATTTAAAGAAACGTAATTGTATTCCCGGGTTTCCGTGTCGATGTGTAGTTGGATGCCTCCGCTTAGCGACTTGCCCTATCTTGCAGTGAGTCAGGGGCTGGAGCCCCTGCAAAGCATGGCTGCGTTTTTCTCTTTTTTTCAAAAGAGGGCAGGTCGCTATGCATTATAATGAGTTAAATCTCTCTCTCTCCCTCTCTTTCTCTCTCGCTCTCCCCCCGCACGCACACACACATACACAGTTGCAAATTTGGGATTGCAATAGAGCTCACAACAAAACATCAAGCTTTTTTTTTTTTTACCGTTGAAGTGCCGAACAGTGTCTAATATATGCATCACTACCGATATTTATTAGCGCATTAAATAAAACTCAGATGTTGTCTGTAATCTCATTTTAGATTGTTACGTTAGTGTTCTGTACGCAATTTGTCAAGTCTGTCCATTATGGACTCCACAGTGCTTCACGTTATATGGATGAATCATTGCTCAGGCTCACCGTATACATTTTTGTGCTTTCCATGAATCATTTGGAAAGATGAATGGCGTTTTCCCCCTCCGTATTGGAATCTGTGAATCTGTAACTCTTAAATGTGAAGACTAGACTCGTTTGTTTCAGTTTTTTTTATATGTATATAAATATAGACTTCCAACAGGGTTAAATTCACAGCCAATCAGAATGGGCAGTTCTGTAGCCTATCGTCTGCTGTAACCTATATACCTAAATTATATAATTTCCGCACGTGCTGTTGTTATTATTGCACGGATATATATAAGCAAGGAGGGCAAATTTACAGGGAAACAGACATTTTTATTTCAAACACAGGACTAGAAGGAAATGTTTAGGTAATATATTTGTTTAAATTGCAAAACATTATAAGGGTTCAATGTATCTAAATTGTCTAAAGAACATTTTGGGCAGGTATGCTTTTGGTTATTTAAGAAAAGCCAGTGAGAAAGGATGTTGCATTAATTATTAATCGAAATACCGTAGTCGTCAGTGATTGTGTTTCTTTTATTTTTAGCCACTGACACGCGAGGCTAAGGATTCAAACATGAACAACAGACATGTGAAACATAGAATGAGAAAAACACAATTATGTCGTTTCATCATCGCAGCAGAGCAGACTGTGTTTGTTTGATGCAGTATGTTTCTTTTTGATGTAATGTATTTTACTTTAGGATGAGCTACTGGGGTTGTGCCTTAATTAATTTATTTTATTTATTTTTTATAATCCTAGCAGTTTTGTGATCATGACGTGTTGGCTACGCAATACAGGATAAGCTTGCAGGTAGATTTGATAACTTGAGTAAATAGGACAAATAAAACTAAGGCGTAATGATTAATTGATTTTCTTTTGCAACCTCTCCGAAGCAGTCAGTCAAATCGTGCTTCTGTCGTGCAGCAACTTTAAAGGGAATTTTAAAGAGCTTATTTTCCCTGGGAAAACGCTATTGTTCGTCCTGAAACAATAGAAGCTGCAGGCAACCGCAGTGAGGCGGTATGAATGGCGAAGCTGTGGGTCAGTGCATTGGGTCTCAGGCCCCAAAGCCCCCTTTCCCGTGCACCACAATGACCCTGCGCGAGAACGAGGCTCCGCGGGGTCAGAGGGCATCACCTATTGTTCTGCACTTCAAAACATATAAACATTAATTAATCAAGGCTGGCCATGTTTCTCAGGGAAAAAGAAAAAGTAGGGTATGTTGTACCTACGAGTGCTATAGGCCAGAAGGACTTCTGATGTTGTAAATGAATGTGTTAGAAATCAACGGCGTCAGTGATTACGTTCTATCTTTTCCTGGATGAAAGGACATCAAACATTCGCTCTGAACCAAGGTAGAATTTTTAGATGTTTACACGTAGTACTGTTTTGCAATAACTTTCGTGTACCTTAATTAAAGATTACACGTTTTTTTTTTTAACCCTGAACATGCATGTTTTCTTAAACCAGTGCTTTATTTATCGTGGAAAGAAAAGTAGAAAGGAAACTAGCTTTATAATATCGAATTAAGCTTGAATGAGTTCAAATACTATCTCCACAGGCCCAAAATCATTGTTAAAATCAAAACGTCGGCTTGTTATTGTTTATGCCGATATTTTTTGTTTTCATGCTTAGCTTGTCTTTTATTGTCGCGGCATATTTTGACGTTTTGTGTTGTGAATCTAATAATGCTCAGACTGTTAAACAATTTACATGATTGAAGACTGGGACAGAATTTAGAATCCTTACAACTTTACCTTTAAGCTATTTAAGAACTAGATTAATAACGAATAAACGGTAAAATGTAATGCATTTATTTAGCATCTGTAAAATAGTCTCTTTCTACAGTAACTCCGAATTAGCTTAGCTGTCCAAGCACGCATTTTATGCTATTAAACGTTTTCGTAAAGGCAAATAATTGGTCGAACGTCTATGCGAGGTGCTTTTAAAAATATCTAATCAACATGTGCATCTATTTTTAAAGTTTCCCAAAATAAAATAGTATGTTGCATTCTGCTCGAGACCCTGATTTTCTTTTTAAAACGGCATATAATTGTGCACATTTAACAAGCACTATTCTTGAACTTGAGAAATAAATTGCATAACAGTCCGTTTTCAAGACAGCGAATGGAAACAGCTGATCTCCCGTCACAAATCAAACGAACTGTGGTAGAAAGAGGGGCATGGCTCTCTTTGCATCTGCTGCAGACCGTCATATTCTCTGCGATGGAACTGATACAAAATCCAACACATTTCACCGGTCTGCCCCCCCTCCTTTAAATCACTGAAAGTGCAGGTTGACAATGACGCACAGAATATTATCTTTAAATGCTCTTCAGATAAACTATCCTGCAAGGTAATTGATTTTGTGAGCTGAGTTTTTATGAGCATGTAAATGGACGCTTTTGAAGAGATCTGACCTTTTACGACTGCATTTTGCAATTTCAAATAACAGATATAGTGCTGTTTACACACTATAATAGCCATACATAATAATCTCTATCCTAAATTATATGTAATAAAAGTTCAGTGACATCACGAGCTTTCCAAGTTAGTTTATCCATTAAATGCATAATAATCAACCAGAACTGAATAATTCTTATTTGTTTTTAAAGAAATTAAACATTTATTAGACTCATTCATCCTTATGTCCACAATTAATTTCAGTATCAGACCTCCATGTTTGTATATTGTACAGTATATCTGTCTTAGCAGTTCAAACGGCATCAAATCAGTTTGAGAGATGATTAAACTCAACCTTCACATTCTGTTCTCATCTGTACTGGGAGGAGGGCCTTTTTAACATTGTCTGAATAAGGATATGATTCTCATCCATGTCAAGGAAGGCAACTAAGGTTTTCCCTTCTCTCCCACTGTGACCTAATTTAGTTGGTAATAAGCTCCTGGTGAGAGTTGCTTTAGAGGATTTCTAGGTACTGGACCCTATTTTGAGAGTAGTACAGTTAGGTCAGGTCATACAAATCTGGATGCAATACATGTTTCATTTTAAGCGCCCTTTGGGTATTTTATACTGAGCGCTATGATGGCTAAATCTGTGTTCATTGATTTAAGCTTTGTATTTTCACATGATACACGGTTGATCTCAGTCGGCGCTGTAGGCTTTACACTCACCCACATACAGTATGTGTGTGTACCATTCATATGCATGAACCATTGTCAGGTTTGAGCTTCCAGCACCTTTGTTGTTTTCCTGACGGGTCCACAGGTTTGGGCCTCTCCTGTCCTACATCTCTTGAGGTCAAACATGCATGTTGAGGCATCTGATCTACTAGCCGCTCTCACACTGAGCTGTTAAATGTCAGAAAGCAAGAACGGAGAATGAAGGCCATTACAGTCTGTTCTCAGGAGCCTCACTATACTTTTATTTCTCCACCTGATTCAGCTCTTTTTTGACTGACAATTAATGAAGAATTTGTACAGTAGTGACCAAAACAACCCTGTTGATCACCTGTCCACACTTAACTAGCCTTGCAGAAATCACCCATTGTTTATATTCAAGGGCTTTAGTGAGTGGGAGTCATTTTTGCTTTTATAATGAGAAATTCGTTTTACGTAAATGAAAATTTTAAGTTTGTTGAAGATTTTTTTTTAAAATTAAAATTGTGGACAAATCTGCCCTTGAACCATGGAGCAATAGTTTAATATGTATCGATTGCTAACACTAAAATATAATGCTTAAATATATATACATTTAATATGATAAACAATTTAATCAAATGTTATATTACATTGCGTGTAATAACCAATGAATAATGTGTTTCAAACAATGAAACCATGAAATAGTGATATTTAATATATTTAAAGTAAATTGCAATAATAACTATCATATATAAT